AGAAATATTTCTGCAAAGCTACATTTTTATATCAAATATACCAAAAATAACTTACGATGTATGACGTATTTTTATGAAAAGAATCTCGGAAAATATGAAAATTTATTTCGGCTGACTAAATGTCGTGATGATTTTTATAATTTTTTATTTAGGCACATATGCATAAAGAATACGAGATTATCATAGTAATAATTATTATAGTATTTTTTGCTGTAACTCAATGATGATATTAAAATAATTTGAAGTAATTTACTTTCAATGGTATTATTTTCCTTATAATTTTAACAATAATGACCATTCTTTAAAAAAAATTGAATATTCTGTCGTTTCCCAATTTCAACTGCACATTATAATCATATTCAATAACTAGAAGTCGCTTGAAATCTAGAGAAAGTTGTTCAAACACTTTTTGAGTTTATCTTATTATACGAATGTATATTCACTCTGTAAATTAAGCAACTTGGTAAACAAAAATCATTCTAATATTATAAAACATTGAATATTTTGATAGTTGGCTTATTAAAGTTTCAGATGAGATTATCCTAAAAATAAAGGCTAGGAAACCAAGCACTGTTAGACATCTGGTGCTAAAAATTCAATTGCTAATATTAGGCAAATTTATGATTATAATGGCGAGAAATAGAGTGCAGGCATAATGATAAACACATATCTCCCCACAGCGGGCAGATTTTGTTTCCACAAGTATAGTTAAAAATCATGTGATTATTATAAGTGTTAAATATATCTTATTTATATAATATTAGATCGAGGTTCTTAGTTTTGTGTGCACGGAGGCTTCGAAAAGATAAAAAATATTGTTGCCATATCTGGTTATCATTTTTAAAGATATCTTAAATTTGTTTATTACCAACTTCCTGCCCTTTACAGCAACATAGTAACATATCCCAACTAGTGTTTCGGGCGAAACCCGAATTTGCAGATCATTTGCAGATCAAATTGGGCGAAACTAATTTCGGAGGGTTTCGGACTTATAGGGCGAAATTAAAATTCTTCTGGGCGAAATATTTCGGATTTGGAAAATAATTTCGCCCGAAACACTAATCCCAACATATATATAAAGAATTACAGTAATATATATAAAAAGGAATATGAATACATAAAAATGAAATAAAGCAATATATAAATATTATGCATTTAAAGGTTTACGATAGCTCTCCAATGTCAAACTCTTCTATTTCAGATATACTTGCCATCTAAGTTTCTATTTTATATATTAAACATGCCGAAATTAAAGGTTATTGAATTCAGCCGAATGATATCGGTTAAATTTAACCGTGTCTAATGTCCAATACTCCCTAGTCCCAATGAATGAACTGAATTAACTAAGAGTGGTCTAATGTCTAGATATGTAACCAAGCATAACGCTGCTCATATTTATACATTAGCGCAAATAATAATTATATTTTTATTGTCTTTTTTTTTTTTTTTTACAATATTTGTCAAAATTGATTTTATAGACCGTCAGAAATTTTAGGCAACTTTGATAACTTGGTTGTTATCTTTTGTGTGTTGATGAATTTGCTGGTGTACATGCTATTTGGATGCTTTGATGACTCAATATTAAGGTTAATTTTATCAGCTTCCAAGAATTGTTTTTTAACTTCGCTATCATCATCTTGACTCATCTCGTAAAGCCAACAACCTATTACATTACAAATAACAGTCGCTGTGGGTCGTTTATTTTGATCCTTGTCCATACATTTCTTAGCAAATTTAACGTAACAATTAGGTATACATTCATCAAATTCTGGGCGTTTTCCCCGACAAATTTTTATTGAAAGATTAGTGTTGAAAGATTCACCATCAAATGCTCTTTTTCCAGTTGATATTTCATACATGACGATTCCAAAGCTATAGATATCAGCCGCTTGTGTGAACGGTTGACCCATTAAAACTTCAGGTGCAACGTATGGCATAATACCATTAATTCCTCCTTTTGGATCCATGTTAGATGGTGTTGAAAGTCCTAAATCTGTAATGTATGCACTATGTAAATGATCTTGCAAGATATTTCCGGAATGTAAGTCTCGATGAATTAATTCTTGAGAATGGATTGATTCAAGGTCTGATGATATACTATACAACACATTCAATTTATCTTTCCATTTCATTTGTGCTACCGAACAAAGATTTTGACGCAATGAACCTTTACTTGCATATTCTAAAATGATAATGTAATCTTTAGATTCGTCATCTCTTGATATTCCATAGCATTTTAAGAATGATGGATTTTCGTATCCGATCTCGCAATATGTTTTCAACTATATTTAAATAAATTTTTAAATAATAAAACAAATCATTAGTATTATTTCATTAACAAACTATTAATTACATTAATATTACCTCATCGACAAATTCTTGATTACTTTTATATGAACCATGAATCAATTTAAGTGCAACCTTTGTAAAAACACCTCTAGTTTTATCGAACCAACTTGCACAGTATACAGTCGCAAATCCGCCTTTTCCTATTTCATGTATATTGATAAATTCATTATAAGGAATCCATGATAGTTGATACTTTTCATTGTTATATATTTGCTTCAAATTATCATCAATGTCCTCATATGTTATCTTTTTTATCTTATTTATATCTCTTTCTATTCGATACCAATGATTAGCTTTTTGTATATCTCTCATTACACCAATTCCATTTCGATAACAGTCACCAACTCGTATAATTGCACTAAAAAATCCCATATCTGCAGCTTTTTTGAAATATTCAAATGCTTTCTTTTCGTCCTTTTCGACTCCATATCCATTGAGATAACAATATCCAACCATGGATGTCCCTGCAATGTACCCCATCTCTGCAGATTTTTGATAATTAATGAACGCCTTATAATAATCACTTTCAACTCCAATACCAAAAAAATAACAAAATCCAACATTATATATTCCCATATCGAATTCCATCTCTGCAGATTTTTGATAATAAATAAATGCCTTATCTCCATCCTCTTCAACTCCAATTCCATGCATATAACAATTTCCAACATTATATATCCCCATAACGTTACCCATATCCGCAGATTTTTGATAATAAATGAATGCTTTATGTTCATCCTTTTCGACTCCTATTCCTTTTTCATAAAATAGACCAGTGTTAAAGGATCCGCTATCGTTTCCCAACTCCGCAGATTTTTGATAATAAACGAATGCTTTATGTTCATCCTTTTCGACTCCGATTCCTTTTTCATAATATAAACCAACTTTAAAGGATACGTCAGCGTTTCCCATCTCCGCAGATTTTTGATAATAAACGAATGCTTTATGTTCATCCTTTTTTACTCCGATTCCATCTTCATAACACTCTCCAGTTATACGTAGTCCTACGTGATTACCCATATCTGCAGATTTTTTATAATAAATGAATGCCTTGTGTTCATCCTTTTCAACTCCTGTTCCATTAATATAACAATCACCAACTCCGAGCAGTCCTTTAGGATTACCCATCTTTGCGGATTTTTGATAATAAGTGAATGCCTTATGCACATTTTTTTCAACCCCTATTCCAAATTGATAATTATATCCAAGGGTAAAAAGGTCTAAATTAGTTGATTTTTCATGATGATCCGAATTATTATTATTCATTTTACTTTTTAAATGTGGCAAACCCAAAATTTTGAATTATAAATATTTGATATGACTCAAAGTCAAAAGTTTGTTCTACTTATTCGGTCTTATGTAGTGGGATTAACGTATGTGTGGGTTGATAACGGCGTATTATATTTTGATTGTATTTTGGTGAATGTACTTCAACAGACTTAATAGTGTGTAATGTATGCGATATTAATTTAATAAAGAACTATATTGAATGCCAAACTGTGTTGCGTTAATCAAAGCAGAGCTTAATGTGTCTGAAGGGCCAGATCGACCTTTATTTATAAAAAAAAAAAAAATCTATATCGATAAAACAGATTATTTCTGAATCCTCTTTTTTGCCCAAATCGACCATTTTGACTTAGCTGTCGCGGTTCTTTTTACCCGAATATGCCGACTTTAGACGAAGGTGAAAGCAGTGTTAAATTTAGAAATTTAGTTAGGGTTAGGATTACCTTATTCAGTAGGAGGGTGCTATATACAGACTTCAAGAATGTAGTATGTTGCATTTAACATTAATAACATTATGCATAAGCCTGTAAAGGTAATTCGTGCAAATTATATCTTGTTTTTGCATGAATCATCTATTTTTATCAAACGTGACCCATTTCAGATGAGTTGGTACCCAAACCGAAACCTACCCGAAACCGGTTTCGGATAGGTCTAAATCCGAAACTCCGAAAACCGAGACCCTGAAACTATAATCCTAAATCTTTGACCAATCAAATTTTAGGATCAGATGTAACGTGAAAATTGAAACAATTATGATTTTTTTTTAGAAAACTGCTAACTTAAAATTTGGCATGTCTTTTATTTATCATAACAAAAAAAATTCCTTAAATTTTAGATTAAAGAATTTAATTATTATCTGTTTTTGATAAATTTTTCCATCATAAATGGTGTACAGTACATTAATTATAATAAATTAAATTATATATTATATTATGCAAATGTATTTTACCGACAAAATGCGTAATATTATATTGTGCAATTTCCTTTATATTGATAAATTTTAGTTTAATATAAAATTCATCATGATTGACTTGAGTTACTTTTCAATCTGTGGAAATTAAAAAATAACAGGCATCGATTTATCATCGACAAATTTCGAAAATAACACGTAACATATATATTGAATATATAAAATTAAATATTATCAGTAATATTTTCGAATAATTTATTTGAAAAATTTAATGGTTTCAATTCATTCATTACATTGTACAGACTATTAACTCGCTATTTAGGTTTAATATTTGTCAAAATTATTATTTTATGCGGTCTAACTATAATTATTTTAATAAATTAATGAACAATAAAAAGTTACACTTGAAAAAAAAAATAAATATTGAAAATTCCATTTTATTAAATAGAATGTATTATAATTTACAAATTTGAAATACCTCATATTCATCTATAACAAAAGAATCATCATTATTTGTATTTCTTATTTGCATTTCATAATCTTTATTCTGACAATACCAAGTTTTAAGATGAGAACTATATCCCATCCCAAAGCCAGAACAACTTCACTACGCCAAGTTTTGTCGGAAATTTCAAGTTAATTGTATACTCATCACAATCCTGAATCACGGTTCGCATATCTTGGTCATTTGCCGTAGCGATAATCACAGCCTCGACTGCCTTACATACAAAGATGCTGAGCTTTTTGAGCATTTTCGAGTCTTTTTTTAGTAGTGTTTCTTTCCATATATCATCACTAATAAACAGATCAACAATTCTGCAATGACATTCTTGCAAAACACCCTGATATGATTTTTAATTCTAATGATTTTGACGCACTTGAAGAGAATGCATTGATTACTCTTTTAAAAAATAATGATTTGCAAATGGATGAATCCGAAATTTGGGATAAGGATATTCAATGGGGGAAAGCAAGAACTCCAAATTTGCCATCTAATTTCGAAGAATGAACAGATGAAAACTTTAAGTCTTTAAAAACTATTCTTCAAAACTGTCTTCCTCATATTAGATATTTTCAAATTCCTAGTAAAGACGTATTAGAAAAAATCCAACCTTATCAAAATATCCTTGAAAAATCTTTATGGGTTGATATTCTAGCAAAATATTCAGCCCCAGATAAGACTATTACTTCACTAATTTTACCACCTCGTAAAAAAGCAACAGTACAACTTCCTCCTCGAAAAGAATCTAGCACCGTCTTCTTCCATAATCACATTAGAACATGCAGCAGAAATTTCATCCTGGATTAACCGACATTCAGCTACT